ACTATACCTCTGGAATCTAAGGCAAAGATTTGGAGTTATACATTCAAATTCTTGTACCTAGTTCTCTTCCCTTACTAAGTCTTCTTCATTAGTGTGCCATCCAACATGGATGCCTAAGCAAAGCATGCCCATTCACATTGTCATCACCTCTACAGGATGAAAGAACAAAGCTGTAAGCCCAAAGAAGGGTGAAAAATGCCTCTCCAAAGGAAAAGAAACAAAAAAAATTGCTGTTCTGGTACATCCACATCAAGTAGACAGATTTAGCCAACTAAACAACATAGTATGCAAACCACAAGATTTTTGTAGAATTAAACCTATCCAGCCAGTGCAACCTCTCTTACCTCAGTAAGTTGCTGCTATGTCTCCTAGGTGTTTTAGTGACAAGCAGTCCAAACAAAGCACAAAAAGCATCATCTAATGAGATTACTGACTTTGAAGAGGTGAGATACCACATTTTAACCCCTCTGCATGCATCCAAGATAAATACACACTAGGCTATCCATGGCTGTTCCATGCAAGAAGCCTTGAACAGAGGTGAAAGAATGTCAGGTTAAATGGCAACAAAAAGAAACTGAATACCCTCCTCCTACCCACACTGAGCTTGCTTCCCCAGCTCTTAGCCTGACTGAAGGCAGCTGACAAATTCCCATTAGTCTCTGAGGGTTTCCTGATTTTCCTTCTGCTTTGGGCACCACATGCATCATGTTTTCAGCAGTGGTCTGTCTTGTTGAAGTCATGGATCATTGAGCCACAGCTGAAGACTTGTCTTTGCTGTTTTTTGCCCTTGGAGGCCAGTTACAAATGGTAGGTCAGGTGCAATTCTATTAAATGTGATAATCTGGTCAGAGCAGGCAGCCTGGATTTTCACCCATTGAAAATAAAGGGCTTTACCTCAAAATAAATAAGTTAAATAATAACATAACATTAATTTTGCTATAATTGCTATAAGTGCGTGGAAGATGTGATTGGAAGTACTGCAAGTTAGAGATATAAATGTTGTGCTTATAGGTAGACATATAAAATTAATAATATTCTCATCTATGGGGTTTCAGATATTATTTCAGGGCTATTTCAAGGCTAACTTCCTGCAAGCTAGTTTATTAAATGTTAGGACAAATCCTAAGCAGCTTTTTTAATGCTTATATATTTCAACATCGCTGGGCCAGAGGATGAAAGCAATATCAGGCCCTTCATTTCTGTAAAGCAGTTGCAGAGCCTCACATGAAAGACACTTTGTCAAAGAAACTAACTTGAAGTCTTTGACTTCAGGTAACTCTCATTCATCAAAAAAAAAAAAAAAATCCAGTAACTTCAGAGGCAACTTTAGTGAATGCAGTCTTCAGGCTGTCATCTTTCAGCAGTATTTTTAAGACAGAGCCAGCTCCTCTGAGGGACACTGAATACCAGCAACTGACTTTGACTAGTTCTTTATGTTTCCAGCTTCTCCCAGGATTTAAACTATGGACAAGAATGGCTTTTTTTCTGGGATGGCCTAATCCTTGCCTTGAGTATGTGGATATGTTAACTTTTACACCACCTGTATTTCTCTGGAAGCATGCCTGGGTCCCCGCAGACCTTGTTGCATTGCATGCTGTAACAGAACCCTCCTCTTATTTTAGACAGGTACAGGTGGGAAGAGGAGATGCCCTTTCTTCTTTTCTCACTGCAGCACCTCAGAGCAGTTTATTTCATTACAAACTGAGGATTTCCCTTTTTCTTTTAATCTTTAAAGAGCAGCACATGGTGCTGTGCTTTGAAACAAACCCAGAATTTCTGAAAGTCCCCATCCTACCACACACTACAGCCCATCCAGGACTTGTGCACCATTTGGTATGAAGCCTGTGGACATTCAGTGGAAAAAGCCTCAGTGTCAAAAGCAGCATGTGGGGGATTCAGCAAGCAGCTCTCATTAGTGCAAATAAGAGCCTGGCTACTAAGCCTTCACACCTTTTTAAAGATGTTTCCTCTGTCATTAATAGACATTTGCACAAATCTACTCTGGAGCTGAAGTCAAGCAGGTAAAAGTTATAGCTGGGGAAAAAATAATCTTAGCCATTAGAGCCCTGGCCCTTTTCCAGAACAGAGAGCATCTGGCCACCAGCTGTGTTTAGAGGACAGCAGGCATAAGGAACAGATCAGGGGAAAATCTGAGAAAGAAGTAGACAGTGCTGAAATTTGTAATGAAAAGAATACCAGCTTCATCTGTGATGTCCAAAACCTTTGCCCTCCTATATTCCCCATCCTTTTCTCTTCCCAGCTCTGGAGCCCATTACTGGAAAATCGCCCATTCAGAACACTGATACCCTTTCTGGGCTTGAGAAGGCATCTGGCAGGGCTCTAGAGTAAAAAAACTGGGAAGTGTGGAAACTGGCAGCATGTGAGGCAAAGTGGAAATTGAGGAAATTCTGGAAACTAAGGGAGGACCGTGTAGTGACAGAAGGAAAGATGTGCCATGAGGCAGGGACAGGATGTCTGCAAGTCCTCAAATATTACAGCATGGATTAGTATAAAAAAGACAAATGGAAAGGCACCTTCACTCATTACAGGTTGGAAAGTTATGATTAAAAAAGAAAATCACAAGTTTTTTCTAAGGATGTTGCATTTTTTTCCATTTCACCAAGACTGGAGGCAATATTTTGCCTCCAAATTTGTAAATTATTGCAACTCATACAAAGACTAAAGGAACAGAAGGCTTTTTGTTTTCTAAGATGATAACACCATGTCTCAAAAAAATGCTAATAAAATGCTCTGTTGAAAAGAGCCTCATCTGACAGGGATGATGGTATTCATGGACACCCACTGAAACTCACACTGATTTTCAGATTAAATTGACAACAGAGCCCTTCCCCCCAGCCCCAGATTAACGGAATGAAGAATCCATGCATGAAGCCATGTATAATAAAGCTTGGAGATTATGAAATAGGCTAGAAGACAGGATCAGAATTGCAACTGATCTTGATGAAGTGAGGAAATTGCCCCGGTTAGAGCAGAACAAATCTAATAAAGAGAAGTTGAAAGTGTTATACTTTGAAAGGTGTAGTAAACAAATGCACAAATAAAGATGGAACTCCTGGGAAGGCAGCACTGAATCCCTCAGGAATTATTAGACAGACTGGATCAAAGTCAGCCATGGGATGTTCTTGTAGAAAATATCTGGGGATATATTTTCTGATATGCTTTACATAAACCACAGAGAACAGTTACCCTGCTTTGCTTATTACTGTATAAAGCTCCTGCTGCAGTACTGAAAATGTGGAAAATAGGAAGTCATGAGGGGACTGACAGCAAAAATCAGAGACCTAGAAAACACCAGCAAAGGAACTAGCAAAGACTATACTAGTGAGGCAAATAAGATAATTCCTTTCATACACAGAATAACCTTAAAAAAGAACTTGTAAGATCATCTGGTTTTCCTGTCAATCAGGGCTTGAAGGAAAAGTGACTCGATTGGCAGTGAAGAAATTCTGAATAGTCTCTTAGGAAAACCTTCGGATTATGAGGGTGGTGAAGATCATGGATCCCTGTGACGGGATGTTTAAGAGCCTGGCAAGCTGCACATTGTCTGACATGGCTCAGTTAGACCTCACCCAGCCTCACATCAGCAGAGGCACACTAAAATCACTTTCCAAGCTCTGGTTTGTGGATCCACAACAGTTTGCTGGCTGTTTCCAGGAGAAATGAATGCCAGGGTTACACAGGCTGGCTCTTCTGCTGACAAAACTGATGGAGGTCACTGGTCAAAAAAGAATTGAAAATTATGACTCCTATTTTAAGGTTTCTTTCAGCTATACATCTATGATGTTGGGATTTACCAGCCTTTTTGAAGGGAAAAAGTTATTCCTGTATAAATCCATAGCCACGATCCCTACCTGTAACATTTTGGATGACAACTTCTTGGGGTTTGTCCTCTCCTACCATTTGCCAGACACCAGCAAAGTGGCAGCAGTGGGTGCCACGCTTCCAGCCATCTTGATCCACAAGCCCAGGAAGGAGCACATGGGGACACACGAGGGGGCTGGCACAGCTCTGCTGCAGATGGACACTGAGTGTGTTTGGAGGCAGCTGCACTCTTGTCACATCTGCCTCTGAGTGCCCAAACACAGTGACCACTCCACATACAGCCACCAAAGGCCCTATTAAGCCCTTTATTGATGAAAGAAAACTACTGAATGTTACCACAGATACTCTCAACTCACCAGAAGAAAGACTAGCATGGAGTTATCAGTGTTTCCTTCCTATTTAAGATCACGATTATTGTTTGAAAAACTTTGCTATTTTAAACCATGAAGCTGCGGGGTGAGGTCTGCTGCTACCTAGGTATCACTAGCATGGAAGGATGGGCTTCCATGGATGAGGAGGCACACCAAACAACAACAAGCACCCCTGTGTGTTGTTGCTGTTGCATCAACTACAGTCTCGTGCTTCTCTACAATTGCAACACAGAACTTGCCATTACTTAAGTGTTCCGGACAACATCTTGTGTCAACATCTATGCAGGAAAAAAAAGTGTAATTGACTGACATGTTGTGTCTCTGCAACATTATTGGCAGTTTAGGTATTTTGTAATTTGTTGCAGAAACTGTACAAGACCAAGCATAAAGGAGGATTTACACCTTAGTCATAAAACAGCTTCCTACTGTGTTGATAACAAAAGCCAAAACTGTGTTTTCTGAGCATGTCAAAAGCTATCAACATGAAAGGGCACCTGATGTAGATGTTTCAACAAAAGAAAAAGAGGTTAACATTCACTGTCAAAATAAAACTTCTAAATTTTCTGAATGGCAGTCTAGAAAGTAAGTATATTAATGTCACTTTGTCATGGAGAAGGCAACATCTTTGCCTACTTCTTGCTGTGGCTTGCAGAGACAGAGCATCAGGAACGTTGTGGCACATAGCAGATTTGTCTTACTAACAATATGCTGCAAAATAAACAAAGCTTTGACATTTTAAATCACACCCCCATCCCACCCCACCCAAGCCCTGCACTTGTAGATAACCTATACATTCTCAGGATACAGTGAGGAATCATTCTATAGTACATATTTAATTATAATTTAAAAAAGTCTAACTCGGACAACAATCTCTGGCCAGTAGCAAAATATCCACACATTACTCAAGTAAAGATCTGTTATTATCCCTTCACTGCAACAAACAGAAATCAGCACCTCGAGAAGGAGCTCCAGGGGTATCATATCACAGCCAATCGCACCAAATAAAAAAAATATGCTAATTTCACAAATGAAGTTTGACAAGAAGTAACATTGCATTTGTCTTGGCGAAACAAAGCACGAACGTAACATTTCACAGGTACAGTTACCATGCAAACGCATGTTTGTTGAGTTTGTCATTGTTTTTAACCCCAAATCACGAGTAGCATGCAGTTCTTCTGCCCCCCTCCAACTACTATATTAGAGATAGTCTGGGTAATGTACCTCTTTGGTGTAACCATAGCCTGTTAGGCAAGATTATACCACCCTAGGAAAGAATACAAGCAAAACTTGATCATATGTATGTTTACACAATGTACATTTTACCATTTAAAAAAACAAAACATGTTACATAGATTCTCAAACACAGCTCTGTTGAAAATGAAATTTTAAGCTTAAGAAATAGTTTTTAAACTACAAGGCCACCCCATTTTTTATGAACAATTTAAAAAGTTCCCACCCCTAAAAATCTGCCAGTATATTTCCTCGACTGCAACAGTCTTACCCACTCTCTAATACAGCTGATCTTTGCTTGACAGCAAGAACAGTTCTTACATTTCTCAAATGCATGAGACAATGGACTCCGGGATAGATACAGTTCTTAAATGTGTGACACTGGAACAAATCTGACTTAAATGATTAATTGGTCAATTCAGGTGTTCCCCGGCACTACCCTTCAAGGCAGGGGCTTCTGCTGTTCAATGATGTGAGTTCTGGCTTTTGTTGGCATCAAGATCCACAAAGAGGCTTATGTTCAGGATTTGAGTACAACAGCAATTCACCAGAAACTCTTGTACCCAGTTTGCTCAAAACCATGGAGGAACTTGGTTTTCTGTATTCTCTCATCCAAACAGGGAATACAGCCCCAGCGCAGCACCTTTGGCCAAAACAGAACTATTTGGATGCGAAGTAGAATTTCTTAAATTTTCTTTTTTGTAGTCGTTTAAGCAACTGCAACAGGTTTAAGCAACTGCAACAGCTGACTTAACTTGCAGGGTCTTTTATCAGAGGGTTACCATCTTCCTCAGCTTTACACAACGGAGCCCTTTGAAGAAGACAAATGAATTGACTGAATCCTTGTGGCCAACGTCCTCTGTAAGTCCTCTAGTACATTTTGACCAGATGTTTCTCCATTCTTGTCATACAACAGCTGTTTGAAAGCTTCATTTTCAATGAGGACCATCATATTTTTTAGAAAGTAGCCTTCACAATAGGAAGATAGTTCTGTGACGCCGAGAAACTACAAGAAGTGAAATTAGAGAAAGATAACCAATCTGATAAAACCCAATCAGCAAATACAGTGCATAAGAGCTGCACACAAACAAATACACAAGCTCAGCCTTGTAGATAGGCACAGTAACACTTACAGATACGAATGCATGGAGGGGAAGGAGTTAATCAAACAGTATTTTATGCTGATGATTCCTATAATAATTCCATGTTAAAGACTGTGGTTGATGGGAAAACAAAATTCCATGGGCTGAAGCTTTGCTCCCTTGGGAATTGATGGGAGTTCTACCGCAGAGTTTACCAGACCCATGATTTCACGCTAGAAGTTACACCCTAAAACTAAGGGTTTGGGAAAACATTACACAGCAAGTTTCAAGAATGCCATCCTCAGCAAGGATGGGACATATGACTGTAGTAAGCTGTCATGCAAAATTTCATATTTTGATGAATCTTTGGAGGAGAAATGGAAACAATCAGCCATTGAAGAAATCTCCCCAGGGTAGTGGTGGATTTCCCAGCATTGGACACTTTTAAGATTCAGCCAGATAGAATGCTGGGCTATCTTGCCTAGACCATACTTTTGCCTAGAAAGGTTGGACCAGATGATCCTCAAAGTCCCTTCCAACCTGATATTCTACAATTCTATAATTTTAAGAATGGAAAGTCCATAGGGATATTAATACTCTCCATTCAGCTTTTATTTGTAAATATAACCAAATTCACATTCTCTGACCTTCCTACCAGTACCTCAGCTCTTTAATCCAGGGTTTCAAACTCTTATTCCTGCAGCTGCTACTACAAAGCGCATCACCTTGCTAAACATTGTTCTACAACCTAGGCCCCTGCCACAGATAACTTCCCAAGTCTGTGCTCACGTCATGTTATTCCAGCAAATCGTGTCTTTCTCTCAATCATGACAAAGGCTGTGCTCCAGGTTTCTCTGGGCCAACCTGCTTGCACCTCCCCATCTGGAAAGACAGGTCTCAGCATTGCCCGAGTGCCTGCAGATGCAGATGAGCTTGTAAAGTAGCAAGGACAAGAAAGGTGTCCCTGACCACGGCAGGGTGGTTGCAACTAGATGATCTTTAAGTGTCCCTTACAATCCAAACCATTCTATGATGATTCTAGGAAGGACAAGAAATGGTACCTACAACAGCATCAGGTCACTCAAAACCTGCTCCTGGCTGATGAGGTGGTTCCTGATTTCAGTGCCTGCTCACCTTATTGCCATTCTCACTAGGGTCTAACACAAGCTCTTCCACACCTCAGAGAGCAACATGGAAAGGCAGATGGATGGCTGACAAGCTGTGCTGGAGCTGCGTGTGAGCTCTCCTGGCTCATCAAGACCATCTGGCCTCTTACGCCACACAACATCATCTCACACTCACATAACAAATGAGGCTGCCCTGTGATGGGAGCACTGGAAAGAATGATCTGTGCTCAGATTAATCACCTGCACATCACACGTACCAGGAGCAAAAAGACAAAGCATCTTGTATGCTCTTCTAGCGTAATAGAGAGGTATCTGAACTAGCTTTAAATGTGTGAGTTCAGGCCCCAGAAACCTTCTGGATATAGCAGTATGAAGCTTAGCCATGGTAATTCACTGGAAGAAGGGTAAATTAGCCCATGCAGTGCTTTAGGGTGATGTGGCTTAATTCCAGAAGTCAAAGTTTCATTTACAGCTAGATTGGCTATCTCTGCAATGTCCCACCCACATCAGTGCAAACATGACTCTGGCTGTAAAAACCTCTCAAGTACACCATTTCCACAGCCTCCACTGAAAGATGCAGGCACAAAAAAAATTGCAGGCTGGGGCTCTTATAGGCAAACCAGGAGTTGAATTTAGCCACTGGGTCTGTTCAGTCCCAGCACCAGCAGTGTACCAGTCCCTCAAAGAGGTCTAAACCTCCATGTAAGAATTTTCTTCAATCAGATGTAAATAATAGCCACATTTCACAATTCAAAGAAAACATGTGATTTTAAACCAAAATTATTAATTTTACTAACAGTAATACAAATTGAGAAATTCCCACATGAGCTAGAAGATAAATCAAATATTTTTCAAAAGATTCCTGCACTGTAATTTTTTTCCCATTACAATAAATGGACCTGCAGATATACCTCATTACTTATTTTTATAGGTGGAACTTTGTGCTATTTTAAACACTGATTGCATGTTATCTGTACATCAAGACCTAACATTACTATTCTCTGTAGGAAATACCTGAGGATGGGAATGGAGGTCAGATCTGAAGGGGTTTGGAGCAGGATTACTCTGTTCAATCAAACCTCCATGTCACAATGCATCAGTTTATCTTTTGTATAGACCATGTAAGTTACAGAAAAAATATTTCATTGCACTTATTTGTGTATCATTTCCATCTTCCAAGTGAAAGTCTAACTACTACACCTGAGGAGGAGAAAAACTGAAACTAATCAATGTGGCAACAACCTCTATCAATGTGTGAAAATGGGTTTTCTGGGTCAAAAAATGCCATGCTTTTTTGTCTAATGACTTAGGCCACCTCACAAGCTAAGTATATAATTCGATTCCAATAAGAAGCGCTCCAAGACATAAAATTCTCATTACCATCCTTGCAGGGCTCTGAGCCACTGAACTTCCACAACATGGCATTTTCATATATTGACAAGCTGTCACCAGCATTGAGTATATCCCCCCAGTGGGCTCCAGGCAGGAGGAAACAGGTAATCTTAATGGGAAAATGCAGCTTGAAAGGTGAAAGCAGAGGTGTCTTCTTCACTTAGGTGATTCCTGTGGAATCAGCTCAGCAGTTTGGGCTGCCATGAGTAAGGGACAGGTCTTGCACACAGTGATACACTCAAACTGAGTTTGAACCGCTCGGGGAAGGGGGTGAGAAGGTGCCACCTTGCAGTTATACTACATGATTTAAGACTGTCACTATGCTATGTACCTATTAGCTAGTCAATCCCAGTAAATGAATGACAAATCTTAAACACATAACAAACATACTAAGCATATGATATATATATATATATGTGTCACTACTTGTCATAAAACTGACCTACAACTATGACGACAGACACACAACATGCAAGCGTATGCAGTTATTTTTACCTTGGCATGATTATAAATATCCACGCAGTTTTCTGTATTAATGCTTTTTGCACAAATGATCTCACAGTGTCGTTGTAAAGCTTCAAGCTGGAAAAATTTAGCAGCAGAGAGAAGCTAAAAAAAAACAAAAGGCACGGAAAAAATAGTCAAAAACTGCTGAGCGATACAGAATCAGAGCTTGATTCTTTACTGTGTCATTATAGTTTTTTTCTCTGTCCCTGCTTCAGTTAGCATGAAAGTACTGACAAAAAGTCAGAATGAGAAGATTGCTTAGTTGCTTCCACCCTCTGCAGGTCCCCTCTAGATCACACTTTGGGAAGCCGTACACGGAGAGACCACCACGGGCTGCTCAGATATACATGCTGACTTTGGAATGGGGTGAGGAGTGGGGGATGTATGAGAGAGAAAAAGGAAACTGCAGCTTCAAGAATATTTTCTCACTTTGCAAACATGACTCTGCAAGAAGGAACCTGCAATTGCATTCCCAAAAAACAAGGTTACGGTTCAACTGTTCCCAAAGATCTGGCTGAAACAGAGCACCTGGGCTGGATGTGGGGATGTCAGCAGAAGGGTCAGGACCAAGAGTATAGAGGAATTCAAACCAGATGATGATGACCATCCTGGGCAGTCTTAACAATCTAGAGAGGCAATAAAACTCAAATCTGTCACCTCAGCAGGCTCAAGGAAATGGAATCAGATTTCCATATGCTCCTTGTTCTAGCCTGTGAGCAGTTGTAAGGTAATGTCTAGGCCACAGAAGCTGAAACACTATCTGACACTACTGTCTGAAGTGAGTGCACAGAGGGATACTATGCAAAGGTGGGAACCAGCTCGGTGTGGGGCACTGCCTAGTTAACATTCACATTAGTGCCATGTGCCTGTACCGCTGCTCTACCATGGCTCTGCTGACACCAGCACTTCAGCTGACCTCCCTCTTTGGCCTTGCATCCCCCCTATGGTTATACTACCTGGACTGGCACTGTTCTGGGATCTCTGTACACCAATAGGGTGAAAATGGCTTAAATTTTGAATTCTCAACTGATTTCAGTAGTGCTAAGATTTCCTCTATTGCCCCCACTCTGTCCTTTTACAGTGGGGAAAAGGCATTTCATTTTATGTCTTTCCATGATGGGTCATTGACTCTGGCTCTCTGCTCTGCCTTAGGAAGCAGGTTGGGGTTCTCCATTGCTTGACACCCAGACATACCTTAAGGCCAAGCTGTTTAGGTGTTTAAATAGCACTTATTCATATATTCAGGCCTTTATACAGTCCTTATTATGTAGGACTGCATGACAAAAAACTATCTTGTGAATCCCAAAGGGACTCTCATGCTTCTAGTCAGAAGCACTAGGGAACTATCAAAACCCTGAAACTTCCATGACATTATTCTGACTTCTCCTATGCAGTCTGTTCAAGCTCTACTTTAATACCATAAATAAATCCGAGTGCTGGAAATCTGCAGTGCTGATGTGATAGCAGCCAGCTGGCCTCAATTATGAATTGCAGCAAAGATTTCTGTGGAGTATTTCTGGTGCTTCTTGTTATCATATTTGTAATAAGGCAAGTTGCTAAATGCAGTTTTGAAAGATAAAGCCAAATCCTATTCCAGCTGCCTCTGTGGCTCAAGCAGTCATGTGCTGGTTTGTAATTACTTAAAACTGTGAGGAACCGTGACCAGATCTGTTATCAACAGATCAATCAATCAGTCATACATTCTCAAGTCACAGAAATTTTGAAATGTCACAAAAGTAGAGCAAGCTGCCAGCTGAACTGCAGCACAGGCTTTCTAACAGCCTAGGTGATAACAGACACGTCTCTATAGAGCCGCTGCACTGCCTAGTGTAAGACTCCATATTTCAGAAAAGGTTAGAAATTCAGGAGTTCTTTCAAAACTATGAGTGAAATAGAGAATTAGTGAACTTTTCCTATATGGCTCAGAAAGTCAATGTGGGTATGCTTAGTTAAAAATCCACTGCCTGCACTGGAGAGAGATAATTTCAGTCCTGACCAGTTCCATCCTGTGGCTGCCAGACAGTAGTGCCATAGGGAGTAGTGTCATAGCAATAGAACACGAGGAAATGAAATGAAGTTGTGTCAGGGGAAGTACAGATTAGACATTAGGAGAAGGTTCTCCACTATGAAGGTGGTCAGCCACTGAACAGGCTTCTCAGAGAAGCCGTCATGGCACCAAGCTAGAGTTCAAGGCGCATCTGGATGACACTGAGTGATATGGTTTAGTTTTATATAGTCCTGCAAGGAGCATGGAGTTGGACTTGGTGATCCTTAGGGGTCCCTTCCAACTTGAGATATTCTATGACTCTCTTGGTGGCAGAGAGTACATAGACTATGGTTTTATTCAGGAAATCATCACATGATTGAAATTCAACTGAACCATGACTCTGGTCAGATTTCTCTCACTGTTAAAGCCAGGTATATGCCCAAGAACTCTCTCATGTGAGGAACCAAACTGGATTATTTTTAATGTTGCTGAGATAGATCTGAACATGTAAGCCCGAGCTAATTAACCAGAAGTAAAGAGTGTGGCGGAGGGAATCTGACTGGCCCTGCTGGAGCAGAGAACCTCATCTATCAGGCTGAGAGAAAGAGAGGATCGAACACTATGCTGCTGGGAGTTGCTTCCAGATTTTGGTAACACCAGCTTTGCCACTAACCAGCTATTTTTCTTTCAGATACTTTCTTGCTTGATGATGATAATTTTTCTACTCTTTTTTCTCTGACAGTCAACTTCATACTGGCAAAAGTTATCATAATGGGTGACCAGCAAAGAAAGAGACCGAGTGTCTCCCACAGGACTGCAGACAGCCTGGGCACTCCAAGTGAGGCACTTCTGGCTCTTACAGGAATGCTCATGTGGCCTTGGGTGAATGGTACACAGATCACTTAGCATTGCTCACACTGCAGTTAAGATAAATGTCTTACCTCCATAATTTCATTATTTTTAATCAGGAGTGACTCTGCACCTCCATAATAAAGATACTGCATAACCAGCTGTAATAAAACAAAGGGAGTGTTTATAAAAAGCAATGCAAGACATCAGGGAACAGGAGGTGATGTAAAGGTTGCAGGCAATACCCGAGGTTCTCCCAACACCACCAAAAAATTATAGATAAAACTGGCTCAAACCTCCTGATTTCAAGATATACTTGGTTAGTCTCTCTGCAAAGTTCAATGTCTCCTTTTCACAGGTAGTGTAATGTCTCAGCCCTGATCCTCAAATTGTCTGGACTTTCTGGTGAGCTCCAAACAATTTTCAGGAAACTGATAAATTCATTCTGAGTTTTCAGTGTATTTCCCCGTAGGTTAAGTACATCACTGATTCAGGCAAATATAGCATATACAATAGTTACTCCTTTATTCCTTCCCAGGCAATGGCACCCCCACCTTCACCCAGCTGTGTGTGGGCATGCATGGATGATGAGAAAGAGAGGGGGAGGCTTTGCACTGTAATACAAGCCAGCTAAGATCCCTCTGCAGGATGCTTCCAGCAAGCCTAAAGTTATTGTAGGCAGCTGGGAATTATTTGCAGTGATAACAGTCGACTCATGGAACTGTCTGAGCTCTGAGTCAACTAAAGGGAAGCATATACATGTATGTATACACTACAGGTATGTAAAGCAAGCGTTTTCTCTATGTTTTCATGGCAAAAAAATTGATTGGAGAATACTGCAAAGGAAGGGAATGAACTGTGTCTCTTCCAAGCCTGTCCATTAAGTACAGAAAGAGCCAACTACAGAAAAAAGCACCAGGTGCTTTGTCTGCACAGCCCATGTAAGTGAAATGCATGTTATTGTATCCACTCAGGAACGGCGTTTGCAATCAATAGCACTCTGCAGCTTAGTGTGCGAAGGGAAATGAAGCCTGTGCTCATGAAACCACTACTCTGAGCTATGTGTTTATCAAATACATAAGTACTAATTTGCACAGGGCATGTATGATGTTCCTCTTACAAGTTCCATTCAAATTTAATGTGAGAACTGACTTTACCTGAAAGATGGGGTACTTCACATAGTTGATCTCAATACAAGTACTATCAGATGAGGGCTTGCTAGACAGCAATGCTTTAAACCTAAATAAAAAGGAGCAAAATTGAATAGCCAGCCCAATTTCCTCTGTGAAAAAGTATGGCAAAAACAGTACAAAAGTGTAGAGGAAGGATGGCACCAACTCTTGCAAAAACAGTACACTGAAATGAATGGCTTTGTCACCAAAAAGCATCAAGATTTAGACACTGACATAAAGTTTTCTTTAGGAAAGAAAGAAAAGGAAGAAGCCTTTCTCTAGGAGATTTTAATTTGAAATTTTTGAAAAATACATCTAATGTAGCAATAGAATAAAATGTACATTGGAAATTCAGAGTCTGTAAAGATGCATACCACAAAACCAAATTTTTTTTTATTGGAGGTAACATGACCTTTTAGAAGACTTGCAACATTTAAAACCTGCACAGTTTCTTTTTTTGAAGGTTAAATTCTGGACTATGTCCATTATGCTGATTTAAAAAGTATTTTGGAACAAACTTAAAACAACTAAACTAAGACTTTTAATGCTTCTATGCAAGCTCAATACAATTGTGTAAGAAGAGGCAGGATAGAAAACTAGATAGGTTGCTGTTCCCTAATTATCAAAACCAGAAATTCAGACACAAGTTTCAGGAAAAAAAATGTATTTTAAGTTAATAATTGCAGATTTATGTGAGATGTACACATATGTAACAATCTACTTCTCAAAACCAGATATTCTCATTGATCAAGTGGTGAAAATGGGAAATGTGCTGCCAGAAACATCTGCCCTTCTACTTCCTCTCTTTGATAATTCATCCGACCTTCCAGCGGTAGTTCAAAGCTCAGCTCATCTATCAAGACCAGCATTTGTTGGATGGTAACCTTTTCCATATAATGACTGCATTTTGTTAATTAAAATATGGATAACAATTTACTTGCTTTCACTAGTGTCAAACTTTATTATGAACACAATCTAGTAGGCTTAAAGCTGGAGTTTGGAACATACTTGTACATCTACCAAGAAGCTCTAAACCAAAATATCAATTTCTTCATTGAAGGGAGGGTGAGATACTGCAGTTGCTTTATGCAAATCTCTTTACTCTGGGCTGTGGGTTGGCAGCACGACTAGCATCAATTCCCACATTGCTCAAATTATCCAAACTCAGTGGTTTGTCCTTGCCATATCTTGAAATAAGCTTTTACAGAGGGCCAGATAAATTTCTTTAAAAGCACACCTTTAATTATACAGCTGCTTACATATAAAGTCTGTGATCCACTTTAAGGTTGGGTTTAACTGGGTAACCCGTATTCAGGCTTCTGAGCACAGGCAACAGACTGTAAGTACTGCCTTTGGATACCGTCAAATGCTGCCAATGAGCTGTGTGATAGTAACTTGTTTTTCCTGAAGACTGCCTAAACTGATGCAAGGTAGGATTTAGCCACTCATAGGATAAATTATTATTAAGAATCAAAATATTAAGACTCCTGTACAATCGAGAGCTGGATGCAGCAACGAGCTCCATGCAAATGTGCCTCAGTGGAATGAAGTCAGATGCATGGCCAGAAGCATGGATCGCTTACTGGGTGGAAATCTAGTAAGAGGAGCACTTGTTAAATATCTGGCAGATCAACCAGAAAAAAGCGGTGGAGAAACATTGCTTAGGAAAAACTTGAAGATTGGGTCACTAGCCTTCAAAGAATTGCAACAGCAGCAAAACAAACAAAAAACCCCCAGAAAAACCACAAAATCACTTTCTATTTTTGTTTAAAAAAAGAAAAATATAGATATATTTTACCTTGGTGATGCAGTAAATAGCAACACTCGATGTGCATAAAACGGTCTTCCTTCCACCAGAAATGTAACATCTGACATCTCTTTATTGTTAAGAAAATGGGGATCTAGAATCACAAAGAGCAGGAAACAAAAAAGCCAGTAACTGAATATTTTTCTGTTTTGGCAGAAGAAGACAATAGAATAGAAGAATATTGTTTTTAATGAGTAAAGCCCATTAAGCTATTTTGGACAGGTTGAGACAGAAGCCCCTCAGACAACCACATGGAGTTCAAACAAAGGGAATTCAAAGCTTTGAAGTCCGTGGTGACCTTTGCTGAGATGATAGCCAGCCCTCCATGCTGTGTAAAGCTGGCACAGCCTCCCAGCTCTGCTACCCAATGCAAACTGCAGCTGAACAGATGCTGGAGGGCCCTGTGCTCATTTATATCCTATTACGCCCCTCTCCCTGTGCAAGAAGTCTTTGTATCAAGGGGAAGAGGGTCCTGGAAAATTGCTTGGGTCTTCTCTCAGTCCCATTAAACCACCCTGGGCTCTGTTGGCCTGGCTGGGAGGGCTGTGCTGCTGCAGCATCACCTGCAGCCAGACACAGTGGCCTGCGATCCGGACAGATGCTTGGCTCCAGGCCCAAGGCTTGGATCCCAGCCTAATTAGCAACACAGACAAATCCTTGCAGATTTACAGTCCCACTTCAACACACCTGATGACTCTCCTGATTTCAGTGGGAGTTTCAGGTCAGGCTAAGTTTGGGGCCCTTCCTTTTTCTAGTTCTGCCTTTCAAATTCGGGTTTTTCTCTGACTTGTGGCCCCCTCAAGCACCTGGCCAGTAACACAGACTTCCCACAGCTCTCCTTGGAGAACCAGCCAGTACCTCCAAGTCACACTCACCTAGGCGGGAGGTCTGCTTGCGCTTAATTTCAACCAGCTTTGGAATTGGGTAGGGTCCATAGCAATGAGTGAAAATAACAGAGAGCTGCTGGCTGATCACTTCATTCTAAGCAAAAGAAAACAAACACATGCCATGTAAGCTTAGTATGCAACATAAAATCAGTATGCAAAGGACATGTTAAGTTGCTCTCAAGAGCTGCCTGTTTTGAAGGTGAAAAATGTGATTGCTGAACCTTTATTAAACATCAGAGCTTGGGATTATCAGCATTTGTTAGAAACTGCAGATCTCATTTACTTGATTGCTATGTTTCCTGTAGGAATCATTTAAAAGAAAAACTTTCTTCCTTGGATGAGAAATCTTGTTTTTCTAACAAACTCCACAGCTCCATCCCCTCTGCAAAAACAAAGTTCCTTTACAATAGTGATTTCATTTTATTTGCATACTTACTGTGCTGGAAAATGACTTTTTTGTCGCTCTTTAGAAAATGGTCACTGGTCATGTTTCAGAAAACCAGAGCTACAGACAGATACAGCTGCACAGCCTGGACACATCTCTAAGTGCAACAGTCTCACAAACAGACCCTTCCCTTACAGAGTGACTGAAGCATCACAGACTGCCACTCATTCAATCCCAAATGTTTCATTAACATGCTCTTACACCACTGGCACCGGCATGGGCACCACTGTCCTGAGGAAGCCACCAGACCTTCACCAAACTAGGTCTCCTCCCTGGCCTTACCCATTTCTGCCTAAACTCTGAGAGCAAGGCACCCACAGGAGGCTTTCGTAAGCACCTTGAGTATCTATACAACTAAGACACAAGGGTAGTGAAATGGATTTAATGCTTAAGTTCCAGATGAAAGCAGGATTTAAAGCTCTGGCAAATTTTATCCCACACTTTGCTGGTAATCAGAGCAAGTCTAGACAAGTTCAGCAGTGCCACACTGTTAATTCATGATGACATCTTTTAACTACCCTGTTGGTTGGTGATTCCATTCCACACCGTGAAACTGTGAAAAGGTGAGATACTTAGATATGAGAGGATCAAAGGCCAAGGAAATAAGCAGGTGAGGGACAAAAAAAAAATCATAATATAAAAATTTAAGGAGTACAGATGTTATACTAAAAATATTTCCAAGCTTTAGGAACAGAAATTGAAGCTTTCCTTGCTCTAAGCACATTTCATCGGTGCTCCTTAAATCCCACGAGGGACAAGGAGGAGTGGCAGAGACGCTGTAATGACTCCTTTACTGAATCTAATCAAATAGGGTGGGAAAGGGTAGAGCTGTTCCCTCACAGGCACATGCTGATGTCAAAGGAAATTACATGCACTCACCCGCAGGCAGGAGTTGGCTCCTATTACTACGTCAGATATAGCATTGAAAGAAATGCTAATCTAAGAGAAATACTGACACTAAGAGTCACCATTTAGCACGGCACAGGGACCAGCCCTCAGAGAGAGGCTCACTGCTGTGGCTCTGAGACACACAGGATGTCTCACTCCAGGAGCATCTCACTGTTCAGCATCTTCCCGCTGGAGCTCTGCAAAGCACTTCACAAAGGGAGTGAATCACAGGGTGAAGAGAAAAGGAAGATTTAAGGCCAGATTTAAAGAAGGAAGTGACTCAGCTGCCGGGAGGGCTGGGAGGGAAAGCTTTAGACAGACAGGGCAGAAAGAGCAATTTCTTCTCTGCTCGGAAGGGCTGTGCCGAAGCACCACGGCTGACTGAGTCAGCCAGGGAGGAGTGTGTCCCGGGGGACACTGATTACCAGCAGGGCAGCTCCCGGTTGGATCTGGCAGATGCTAAGAAGTCAGTACATACAAAGATGGGGACAATTCCGTGGTTAGAGCAGACTGAAGCTTCCAGAGAGGAGAACTGGAAGAGTAATGGTCACCTTTCACCTGCAGTGAATAAAAGCAGAGTAACTGCACTGAAGAGGAGAGCTCCTGGAAACTCCTCCTCGAATCTGCCAGGGGGCACTGGTCCTGTCAATGTCACTGAGGTTTTAGTGGGTTCCATGAACTCATCAGTCCCAGCCACAGCTGTGCCTAGGCAATAGCTTTTTCAAAACACACACATACATCAATAAAGACAATGCATCTCCTCCTTCCAGGGTGCCTGTGGGAATTGCGCTGCTGGAATATCTGGGTATTGACTTCTCAGTGCCTCATTAGGAGCTGGAGGCCTAACTCACCAGTCTGAACAACAGCACTGCACACCGGGACATCCAGGTGCATCGAGATCAGGGAAGAACAGGCCAAATCCAGTCAGGCAAGTGGGAGAAGAGGATCCCTGCTCGTAACTCTAACCAACGTGACGAACCAGTCATGCATGCAGACATCCCATGGGAGCCTGCCTACACAGGTGAGATGCTGCCAGATCCCTGGGTCACCAATGGGGCACTAACCCTGTGGTGTGCAGATACAAGCCCATTAAAAAGCCACCTTGCCCACAAGCCTGTGAAAAAAGTGGTATAAACTAAGCTCTAATTAGCTCAAGATGTGATATGTTCACATGAGAGATGCTTAAAAACCCCAAGACGTGGAACAGAGATGGGACAAAGATAAAAAGAGACCTTAGGATCGACACATCAAAGAATGCAGGGCCATCAGACAGACAGTGGCTTCAGACCTCCAATGCAGAACACTGATCTCATTTGGCAGAGAGGAGGTTTAAGACCTTTGGCTTCTGTCCATAACAGTAAATACATCTCATACCACCCAAAGGCCAAAAAATGTGCTCAGCGAGAAAGCTGAAGCATGTGCTCATTTAGAGTCACTACTAAAAAGCAGCAGCAAGGGAAGGGAGTGGTAAGCTATTACACTGTTGCTCCCCACACCCCCCAGCATGCAGCCAAGCTCACAGGGCTGTGGCCCTGGTTCTGCTCCCACAGAGCCTCTGCTGGCTTTTACCAATAAACCAGGTAGAAACAGGAGAGAGGAAAGGGATACTTTGTCTGCAACTGGATATCTGGGGAAAAAATTGGCTTTTTGAAGCTCAATCCTGTTCTTGGAGCAGGCTGAACTAGGCTGGCTGTGAAGTAACTGGGAACAACTGCCAAAGTCCATGACCTGGGACACCAGCACTGCTCTGGAAGAGAGGAGGATGTGTCCAGCCGATTCAACCTTCCCTTTCGCACAGTGTCCACACTGACATGCTCAGAAGCTCTCATTCCATTCAAGCACCAAGACAGATAATTCTTCCCTGTTTATCCTATCATCCCATCAACCTAACTGTGAAAGCCCAGCTGTACGAGCTCCTTGAAGCAGTTGTGGGCGGCGATATTAACACTGAAGGAGCAAACCAGAGTTTGTTTTCTTGCTACAATTTTATGTTGGAAAACATTGTGCCAGGATGCGTGAGGCTGACACCTGGAGCGGGGCCAGCTTCCTCTTAGACATGGGCGTTCATCCCAGTCAAAGGGAGCCGATGTGCATCTTCTTCTGTGGGAGGGGGAAGAAAGCTTGGCATAGGATATAATAAAAATATTTACCTAGCCATGGGGTAGTTTACAGATAGGCAAGAGGGAACAGGGAACAACAGTGAGTCTTCTGAGGGAGATGGTGCTTCCAGCAGAGAGCTCGTTGGTGAGCAAGCAACTTTGCTTTGTAGATACAAGCAGTCTCCTGACTTAAAAGCATTCTTCAGCACAGATCTAAAGGAATTCCCCACTCCTGGTGGATGCACTTGAACTGTGAGGGGAATTCATAAATTGTTTTGAAGCAAAGCTTAAGGCTTTCAAGTTGTTGGACCAGAGATGACTAGTCGATTGATCTGAAAAGAGGTGAAGACCTGGGGGGGGAGTTCAGGGATATTTTTTCCTGAATGTCCATCTGATGAAGGTCTATGGCAGGATTCAGGAAAGTCTCCTCTAGACTTCAGCACACACCCTGGGAGTGCTAGCTCCATTCCAGCTTACCCAGTTCAATCCAGCCTAGCCATTCTGGGATGAGGTCCTACAAGGTATTGGGCACAGCTGGGAAATACACAGCCAGTTTTCTCCAGTATTTGTGCAAGATATGTGTCTACGCTCCAAACTCTCCAGGGTAAAACACGTGTCAGAGACTGCTCAAATCCCAGTGCTTAGTTCTCCTTACCGGCTGATGGACCCCCTACCACCTCCACGTGGCTGTCCTCTACAGTGGTAACAAGTTAGGCTGCTTTTCTTTACCTCTTCTATCCCAAGCAGTACTTTGGGTTTTCCTTTCCTTTTCCTTCCTTTTCCTTCCTCCACCTCACCAGCTCAGCTCCATTTTAACCTACGTCTCCCAGGCCCTCAAATTCGACTACCACAAGCCCCAAAACCAAAAGCTCACCACGTTAAGGCAGAAAAGTAGCACACTCGTTCTTCTGGGCCCAGTGTCTGCCTGTTAATACACATCTTCCCAGCAGGCTGAGAAATAACACTGCTCAGGGACAGGGCCACTAGCAAAGGTATCTTTTCTCTCCCTGGTCCTGAGGATGCTGGGGGGATGCAGTTCTCTGCTAAATGCAGAGTGGCAGAAGTGCTGTTTCTAGTCACCCATCTCACATGCGTTCCCAGCAGCTGTTCCAGCAGTGGCAGAGTCTCAGGATACCCTGAGCCCATTGAAGACTCATCCATGACAGGCTGAGATACCCTCGAATTAGTCCCCTATTTATGCTCCCCTTTCCCAGAAAGAGGTGACTAAGGGTGAAGCAACAGAGAGGGCTTTTCACAGACCCCCAGCCCTGAACACTCAAACTCTGAACCCTTCTTTTTCTGTCTCAAGAACCTATTCCATCCTCGCCTAGGTGTCCTCTTGCATAATTCACCTTTGCCAACTGCCTCAAAACTGATTAAATGCCACTTCAGAGGGTCACTCCTAGATGGTTAAGCAGCATACACATAATTAACATTAGTCAACAGTCGGAAAGGTAGGGAAGCCCCAGAGGTTGGAGGAACAGTTAGCGGCGGCGAACTGCGTAACAAAATGGGTTTTGTTAGTGCTGGGCTCAAGCCCTTCCACCGCAAACACAAACGGAAAAGAATTAATCACAGGTAAGGCACAAATGGACCCTTCCGTTAGATTCTGGGAAAGCTGCCAAGCCTCCCTTTCAAAAGGCTCTTTATATCGTAGCTGTA